GACTTAGCGACCGCTTGCTGCACTTTATATTTGACAGTTGCCAAAGTGAGATATGAGCTAAAATGACCAGATCCTGCCATGAGCTATATAGGAGACATATCTTGTATGTACATATAGGGCTTATATGTGGATATAAAGAAGCAATACAGGAGACCTATATGGCCTGTATATGCACATATATGCACCTGAATTTTGCCTATATGTGGCATATATACGCATATACAGTGCTGCTTGAAAGTATGTGAACCCTCCAAACATGTCACTGTTTTTGTAAAAAACATTAAAATAAAGAGATATATTTTCATTATTTAATTCAACAAAGGTGGTTTATTTCACAAAAACTGAAAATTTTACATGTGCAAAAGCACTTGTAAAAAGCACAGCCATTACTTCAACCAAACGTCTCCTGTAACCACTAACCAGTCTCTCACATCTGCTTATGGGGATTTTTGCCCACTCCTCCTTGCAGAACTCAGCCAGTTGAGAGAGGTTGGAGGGACATCTGGCATGTACCGACTTCTTCAGGTCTCGCCACAACATTTCAATTGGTTTAAGGTCCGGACTTGGCAAATCCAGAGTGCGAATCCTCTTTCTCTGAAGCCATTCCTTTGTAGTTTTGCTGGAATGCTTTGGGTCATTGTCTTGTTGCATAATCCATTTTCGTCCCAGCTTCAACTCTCTGACTGATGGCAGGAGATTTTGGTCAAGAATTTGTTGATATGCCAAAGAATTCATGGTTCCTTGGATAATATGGAGTCGTCCAGGTCCAGAAGCAGAAAAGCAGCCCCAGACCTTCACATTTCCACCACCATACTTCACTGTTGGGAGGAGGTTCTTTTCTTCATATGCCGTGTTGGCCGCTTTTCTCCAAACATGTCGGTTTTGATTGTGAGCAAATAATTCTATTTTGGACTCGTCTGTCCAGAGAATGGACTTCCAGAAGGCCTCTGGTTTGTCCAAGTGCTCTCTGGCAAAGTTGAAACAAGCAGCTTTGTTCTTTTTTGAGAGCAGAGGCTTCCTTCTAGCAACCCTCCCATGAATGTCATGGCTATTCAATTTTCGTCTGATTGTAGACGCATGCACATTTGTCCCAGATGCTGCCAGAGAGGTCTGCAACTCTCTCGAAGGTGATGTGTGGGTTGACCTTTACCTGATTTATTATTTTTCTGGTGCTTCTGGGTGATATTTTTGATGGGCGTCCATGTCATGTTGAAGGCCCTCCATTTGTAAATGATCTGTCTTACAGTGGATGGATGGAGCTGGAATCTTTTGGAGATGGTCTTATAGCCCTCCCCAGACTGATGGGCTGTCACTACCCTCTTCTTCATGTCCTCGGGTATCTCCTTTCCTCTTGGCATTGTTGATTTGTATGGGACCACAGTGGTTTGGTTGGTTTCCTCTCTCTTTTAATTAGTGCAGGCCAAACCCTTTTCCAAGGATGTCTCATTTCATTGGTCTACTTAAATGATTAATTAAGCACCCAAATGTGTTTCACCTGAGTCTGTTACCTGCTTGACTTAACCAGTGCAGCCTTTATAAATGAGCTCCGGGGTGTCGGTATCTGACAGTGACTAACCAGGAATTATCACCATTGTGGGAGAAGGCAGCCTCTTTACCACCTGAGACAGCTGAGGCAGTTTTGGGTGTTTCTAGCAATTCTTAGGACTTTTCAGTCTGGTGCTGTGGAAAATGTCCTGACTCAGAACATCACATCCTGGTATGGAAACAGCTGTGTACAGGACATTAAGGGACTACAGAGAGTGGTTTGGACAGCAGGGCACTGTATCAGGTCTTCTCTACCATCTCTGCAGCACATTTGTACCAGGAGATGCTGGAACAGAGCAATCAGGATCACCAGAGACTCATCTCATCCCAGTAACTGTCTTTTTGATCTGCTGAAATCAGGCAGGCGCTATAGAAGGATTAACGCAAAAACAGAGAGACTCGGGAGGAGCTTCTATCCTCACACCATAAGACTCCTTAATCAGGACATACCACCACTACATCCTTAATAAACACAACTCATGTAAACGCTTCCACCTGTCACCAACCTGCTATTCTAACAACCTGTAAATTACACATCCATCTTTGCTTATATTTATACTTAAGTCACCTGCAGCAAGGCACACTGCACTTTAAATACATAATTCTACCATCCTTCGCACATCCATCCATCCATTAACTTCCGCTTATCCGAGGTCGGGTCGCGGGGGCAGCAGTCTCAGCAGGGAAACCCAGACTTCCCT